AACCATGTAGTCAGTGATGTATTTGATAGATCAACATTTCTACATTCATTCACGGGGGCATCAATATCACGAATCGCTGATTGTTTTAACATCTTTTCAACATGGATGATTTACTATTTCAACACTGATTTACAAGTATTTCATTAACCTTTTTACAACCATTTAGCATTTAATGTTGTTCCAATGTTTTTTTTTTTTCAATATTGAAACAACAACTGACAATATTTTAACCACTTTTCAACGTTGAAGGTTGGTCACGTGCCGCCTGAGGTGAGGTATTATGTCAATCATACCAGTACTATGTGCCAAGCCCTGGAAATGCATTCAATGAACCTCAAACTAAACTAACAGGCTGTACAGCATATGGATTGTGTTACCTACAAACTCATCATGCGTGGGGAGAACTTTGGGCAAATGAAAGTGAAAGAACATACATGTATACAGTCAGAAATATCACAGATTTTTTTGAAGATCAAGTTTTGCATGATTTGTTGGTTTAGTTCTATTTTTGGATTTGTTCTGTTACACATAATATGGAGTTTCCTTATGGTAACAGACACATGCTGTAGCCTATTACTTTATTTATGGCTTCTCCTTTTCCACTTACCTATAGGAAACCCCAGTGCGAAGTCATTGCTCTGTGTGGCAAATATGGAGAAGAGGCCAGCTTTGGAGAAGCGGCTCTCTCTGTTCGCGACCAAAAGTGTGAGGACACACACAAAGAAGAACACAGTCACTTTAGCCACCAAAATGCTGAAGAAAAATGGCCAGATTACGTTGCCAAAGTCCAGCAGCACCATGTTTTTGAAAAGCAGGGCTGGAAGCGCAAACTTGGACACAAAGCTGCCCAGTCCTTTAGCTTGTGTAGCTGGGATGATGCTTGTGCGGCCCGCGACGTATCCGCAGAGAATGATCCCAAAACACTCGAGCAGGGCTGGAAGGAGTTTGTCGATCGACATGCTGGGTGGGACGGAGGGGGCGTCAGATCCATCCCTGCTGCTGAAGATGGAGCTATTAACCGACAGATCGCCCATCTTCAGGCTGACCACACGCCCCTCAAAACACTCTGACAGTAGAGAAAAAAACCTTCATTCTTTTGTGAGGCTTTTTATTAGAATACCAAATATAAGTCATACATGTCTAGTGAATATGTAAATGTGTTTCTAACTAAACGTTTTGTAGCACAGTGACTATGTGAATATATAGAGCTAGTCAAATCCTGGTAATACTGATAAAACGGTACCGTCTAGTCAAACCCTAAAGCCTACTGTATCATATTTGATACATGAATTTCTAAGGCCTCTAAGTTATTATCATAATCAAAACTTTGCTAAATAGCCTGTTGTAAAAAATATCCGAAATGCCTTCTGTGGTCTCACTGATAGTACATTTTTTTACAAAGTAAATGTGCAAATAACTTTTATATTGTTATTAATATTTTAAGACAAATATTTACTGGACTAAAGCATCTTAGGTTTACTTTATCCATGCATCATTTTTAGATAAAACATGTTAAAATGTGAGCACTAAATGATACATCATACTTTTAAGGAATGTTTATTTGTTCATCTCTTAATCATCATTGTATTGCATCTTACTGAGACATATTATGGGGAGATATTAAGTGACAACTGATATTTATATGCTTTTTAATTAAATAGTCTGCTATACTATTATAAAAAAAAATCTCAATTTGTTAAATTTCAAACTATCAGAATGTCATCTTGTTGGCCATATTAATATCAGCAACTGTAGCATAAAACACCTCAGAATAAAATTGAGGTTTTTTTTTTTATGAGTATGAGCTCTGTATTCTCACTATATCATACTATATGAGCCTGGTGTTTAAAAATACTAAAGTATAGTACAAAACATAAAACGCATATGCAAACTATTTTAGATTGTATGTATATGTATATATGTAGGCTATATGCATATGTGTATATATATTTTTTCCTAACTATTGCATACAGTATGCCAGACTTTACATGGTTAAAACGGTATTATGATGTTTCTAAATTGATATGCAATTATATAGGCACATGGGAATATGCTTTTAGTCAAACCCTAGACAGATACAGTGAAAGCATCAGATGGTAATGCTGAATGATTAACATATTTACGTAACTTTAAGTATTTACTCCAAGATATCATTTATATTACGGTCCTGCCATCGTACTAAATATCCACTTGTGGTACTTTCTTCTAGTAGTCAGGGCTGCGTTTCCCAAAAGCATTGTAATGGTCTCTACGACCCACTTATCTCAGGAAGCGTTTGAGAAGCGCAGCCCTGAACACACCTGGTCTGTATGTAACGTTACAGTAGTGAGTTGTTGACAGACTCACCGGATCAGCTGATTCCTGTAAATCCGATCTAGTGTGTGAGTATAGGCACTTTCACGCATGCTGTCTCATCCAGAGGACTTTGAGCTCTTCCGCGTCGCCTCTGCTCTCAGTGCTGTAAGCGTGTGTGTCTTGTTATCTCAGTAGTGTGTGTCACACACCGCTGCAGTGAAGTAACTCCTCATCGCGCACCAACTTCAGCTCGCCAATAGAAAGCAGCCGAGACTGTGCGCATATTACGGTCCTGCCATCGTACTAAATATCCACTTGTGGTACTTTCTTCTAGTAGTCAGGGCTGCGTTTCCCAAAAGCATCGTAATGGTCTCTACGACCCACTTATCTCAGGAAGCGTTTGAGAAGCGCAGCCCTGTACACATGGTCTGTATGTAACGTTACAGTAGTGAGTTGTTGACAGACTCACCGGATCAGCTGATTCCTGTAAATCCGATCTAGTGTGTGAGTATAGGCACTTTCACGCATGCTGTCTCATCCAGAGGACTTTGAGCTCTTCCGCGTCGCCTCTGCTCTCAGCGCTGTAAGCGTGTGTGTCACACACCGCTGCAGTGAAGTAACTCCTCATCGCGCACCAACTTCAGCTCGCCAATAGAAAGCAGCCGAGACTGTGCGCATGCGCACATGAGCCCGGGGTCCTTTTCACGTGGTGCTTTGCATAAGCCCAAAACAGACTTGATAGTTCCAACTCTTTTATTAAAAACAGCTATATCTCTCGATTATATGGGAATGATACTAACATTACAACGTATCCATTCTGAAACACTGAACAATCCATCGTATTAATTCATACAGTTTACAGAATAAGTTCTCGTAATGACCGATAGAGGGCAGCATTTCTCTAAGCGAAGGATTCTCAGGCGTACTGCTGATGTGATTTGATTTGATTTATTGACTTCATTGTTTGGGCCACTTGAGCAGTTTCTGCGTAGGAAAAATGACTGCAGACTCTTATTAAGCAGCTTAAAATACATGTTCACGAATGTAAAATAACAACACACACCATAACATATAGCTGCTAAATAATGTCCTGGGCTGAATTTGGAAGCGCTCATTGTATCAGCTTTGTTAACACAACTTTGCTTTCCAAATGGCCTGATAAAACATGTGTGCCCTTTCAGTCAACCAGATTACATCCTTACTAGACTAGTCCTGGGCTGCGTTCAGCCCCGACAAAACGTTGCAAAACGTTGTTTAAGCGGAAACGGTGGTGCGTTGAACACGCTGTTCTGATGAAGCAAGAGTTGCAGCTATGGCGGCTGAGAAGGCCATTCTTTGTGTTCTTTTTGAAGAATTTTCGGAGCCTGATGAAATCGGTATAAATACGTGTTTAATACTGCAAAATACGCTCGATGTTACAGTCACTGCCCTTGCCGTCCAGAATAAAAGAGAACATCCCAATCAAATGAAGGGATTTTATCTCAAACCCCTTTGCACACCGTTTCCAGGAAACATGTCGTTCAACCCGGAAACCGTAGCAAAACGTTGCGCACCGGTTTGAGCTTGAACTTGCCCCTGTTCACACACAGTTGAGTTGAAGCGATGGCAGTGTGTGGTTTGGTTTGGCAGAAGTTCACAACTGTACTGGCCAAGGGTCTTCCTAACCCCTAGGGGGTCCGCCTGTTAATATTTGATCACAAATATATAAAAAAAAAAAAATGCATATGTCTCACTGTACATAGCTATTCTTGTTATGGTTAAGCTGTTGCTTACACATTACATAAACACTCACTAATTTCAGATACTCAGTGATTTGATTCTTAATTGTCCAGCTCACAGTAAAATTAAAATGTTAAGTTTTAGTAAAAAGCCAACTAAACTATAGCTAAAGTTCAGGTAAATCTAAATGTCCTGACTAGTCAAATTAAAATGTATGATATGACTCTGCAAATCCATTAAAACAATTTGAATTGTGATTTTTATCTCAACATGCTTGTTATGATGCTGCATAAATCTTAAATTTAACAATAAAAAGTAATATACAGGCAGTGATACATCTGCAACAACAATAATGTGCATAGTTCTGATCTACTGTCTTAACAATATACATATAATTTATTCTTAATCATAATAGTTTATATTAGCTCTGCTTGACATATTTTGTATCGGGTGTCCCTGCTCCATGTCTCTATCACCTAAGGAGTCCTTGTCCTGAAAAACATTGAAAACCCTTGGTACACTTCCTTGATTTTAACATCTTTAATATATTATAAATTATATTATATACCTACATGTGTCTGTGACATTAATAAATCTAAATATGTGACCCTGGACCACAAAACCAGTCATAAGGGTCAATTTTTTGAAATTCAGATGTATACATGTATACAGCGGAATAAATAAGCTTTCCATTGATGTAAGGTTTGTTAGGATAGGACAATATTTGGCCGAGATACAACTATTTGAAAATCTGGAATCTGAGGGTGCAAAAAAAATCAAAATATTGAGAAAATTTCCTTTAAAGTTGTCCAAATTAAGTTCTTAGCAATGCATATTACTAATCCAAAATTAAATTTTGATATATTTATGGTAGGAAATTTACAAAATATCTTCATGGAACATGATCTTTACTTAATATCCTAATGATTTTTGGCATAAAAGAAAAATCAATAATTTTGACCCATACAATGTATTTTTGACTATTGCTACAAATATACCCCAGCGACTTAAGACTGGTTTTGTGCTCCAGGGTCACATATAATTTGCAGGATAGGGGAATGTGTAGAATAACATGATTCTATGTAAATTATTAAAACAAACTTTCTCAGATGATGACAGAATGCACTTTAATCGCCATATCTGGACATGCATTTTTACTATGATTTGAAATCCCCCCCAAAAGATTAAAATGCATGAAAAAGCAATTCAAAAAATGTAACTGAAAAGTTAAAAGCATTCATATTTTCACAAATGAGTTCCTGAGTCTCATTCAGCAGTTGAAAATCCAGCTCACACTATATAACGTCAAAGCGTTTCATCTGGGAATTGGTGGCAAGGGTGGCGCTCCTCTGTCTCTCATTCCTGAAAAACAAAAACAAATAGATACATACTGATCAAACCAACTATTCTGACATTAAAACGCTGAAATATTGCATTAAAAATATGCAAATCTTGTCATGTTTTACATGTAAAAGCAGAAAAACAAAAGTCCACTGTGAGTGCACAGCATGATACTAGAACAAAAACATTACTCTCATTACAATTCTGCACAAAATACTGCAGTGCTCACCTTTGCCGCCAGATTTGCTGGGATAAGACTTGGAGAAGGAGACGAACGGCTCTGGTGGAGGTAATTCAGTCAGAGGATGGAAGGAAAACCTCATCCCCCACTCATCTAAAGGAAAGAAATACAACAGAATATGTGCAGAGTCAGTCAAGAACAATTACATTAGCACTCAGTTTTTCAACAGCAGTTTCATAGCCATATTGAGTCAATATTTATATCGACATCATGCTGTGTCTGCTATCCATTGACTTTAAAGGAATAGTTCACCCAAAAAGACAATTCTGTCATCATTTACTCACCCCCACATGATCATTCCAATCCTGACTCTCTTTCTTCTGCACAATTCACAAGAAGATGGTAGATTGGTAATCAAACTGTTTCAGTGCCCACTGACTTCCATTGTATTTTTTGGCCATATACAATGAATGTCAATGGGAACCAAAACTGTTTGATTACCAACACCAGCATTCTTCAAAATATCACTTTTTTTACATTTCACAGAAAAAAAGAAAGTCATACAAGTTTGGAACAACTTGAGGGTGAGTAAATGATGACAGAAGTGCCATTTTTGGGTGAACTATTCCTTTAAGTTAACTCTGTTTATTGAAGATAGTGGTGAAGAAATGCCACTCTTCGACTTTAAACTCACTGCCTTTTCTATTGTTGACCTATAGGTTGCCTCTCTCTCTCATCCGCAGGTATAAGGTCTTGTGGCAGTCATATACCTGTGGCAGGTGGTGGAGGGCACTGGTAGCCATTGATGGTGTCGGGGGGTGGTGGAGGGAAGCTGGGCACTCTGGTTGGGTCTGGGGGTAGAGTGGGTCTGCCTGATCCACCGGGACGATTAGGAGGAGGTAAGGGGGGAGACACTCCTCTGCCTCCTCCTCCTCCAGTGGGTGGAGGTGGTAGAGGACCTGGAGGGGAGGTCCAGTCACATAATGAGGAGTCCACAAAATAACAAAACAATATCTCATTCCTAAACCTCAAAACAGTCATCTGAACCGTGTGTCTGCAGGTAAATGCACATTTCAGTTGTCTGAAAAATTGGGAAAATTTTAAAAGCCTTAATTATTATTAATTAAATATATGTGACACTGGACCAGTCATAGGGGTAAATGTTTCGAAATTGAGATTAATACATTTTCTATAAGCTGAATAAATAAGCGTTCCATTGATGTATGGTTTGTTAGGATAGGAGGACAATATTTGGCCGAGATACAACTATTTGAAAATCTGGAATCTGAGGGTGCAAAAAAAATCTAAATATTGAGAAAATCGCCTTTAAAGTTGTCCAAATGAAGCTCTTAGCAATGCATATTACTAATCAAAAATTAGGTTTTGATATATTTACGGTAGGAAATTTACAAAATATCTTCATGGAACATGATCTATACTTAATAGACTAGTGATTTTTGGCATAAAAGAAAAATCATTAATTTTGACCCATACAATGTATTTTTGGCTATTGCTACAAATATACCCCAGCGACTTAACACTGGTTTTGTGCTCCAGGGTCACATATAATTAACAGCGTTTATTATAGCATAATTCCTACTACTACAACTCTGTAAAAAGTGGTAACCTGCAATTGTTATTTTGTTGAGCTATTTCCACTTGATTTAACCCATAAAAATAGTATTTGAATAAATCCATGCATTATGATGATTCAGTGATGTTAAATATTATTTTTGATCAAATCAGTTAATTTAGATCTTATGATTTTTAGGGTACAGTTTTGTTCTGCGTAATTCCTAGTTTGTGGTCAGTAAAACAGAAAACAATTATTTTAAACTGTAATAATATTTCACAGTATTACTGATTTTACTGTATTTTTGATCAAATAAATGCAGCCTTTGTGAGCATAAGAGTCAAAAACATGAAAAAAACGTATGGCCCAAAAACTTTTGAACGGTTAGTGTATGCTCTATTTATATAAACGCAAATGTATAAACTATATAGCAAATCTCAACTGCTTGACTCTTAATATTGTCACAAAATTTAACTATATTATCACCCAGCTCTTATATTTCAAACTTTATGTACAGACATACAGTAAAGGGACATATATATAGTACATATAGGGACATATAAATCTCAAATGCTTAATTTTTTTATCTGCTAAATGCGTCTATAAGGCATGAAGATATTAAGATATTTTAAACATTAACATCATGATTTTCTTTAAAGCTGCTTTAGAACTATGTGTACTGACTTAATATTGTGTTGGTAAAAAAATGAACTGCAAAACAGGAATGACCTTCCTCATACCTGACCGTATGGATGGGCTCCTTCCTGATGGATTGGGTGGTGGTGGCAGTGGGCTGGAGCGTCCAGGCGGTGGTGGAGGAGGAAGGCTGTTTCTCGAAGGGCCTCTAGTGTTGGGCTCGTCCCGTGGGGATGGTGGGATGGGTGGGACCCCTCCTCCTCTTCCTGGAGGTAAGGATGGAGGCGGATTACCCATAGGCCTCTGAGAACTTAATGGTTTACTCTCAGTTGATGGTGGTGGTGGTGGTAGGGGTCCATCTCGAGAAAATGATGCTCTGCTTCCTCCAGTGGGTGGTGGAGGGGGCGGGAAGTCATCTGAGGGCCTGCTAGGGATTGTGGGTAATGGCGGCCGGGCACTTGCGGGCATTGGGGCTGGAGGGAAGGAAGACTGGGACTCCCTCGGGGGATGAGGAAGGCTTGGACGTCTGCCCGGCTGGTTAGGGGCTGGAACAGAAGGTGAGGAACTTGACGGTCGAGCTCCAGGTAGAGGTGGTGGGCCGCTAGGAGAGCTGTGCTGGGGTGAGCGTGATGAGTTCGGGACAGGTGGGGGTCCGGCCCTCCCAGGAGAGGGTCGTCCAGCGGTTGGGAGCGGGGGTCTGCTTCCTGCTGGGCTGTTGGGAGTAAAGTTCATTACAGTATAGTGTAAAATAGTATAGTCTACTTTTTATTTCAATTAAATATAAATTGGATAAGAATTATTACATTATATATGTATAGTTTAATACAGTATAGTATAGTATAGTAATAATAATTCATAGTATATGTATATGTGTATATATATATGTGTATGTATATGTGTATATATATATGTGTATGTATATGTGTATATATATATGTGTATGTATATGTGTATATATATATGTGTATGTATATGTGTATATATATATGTGTATGTATATGTGTATATATATATGTGTATGTATATGTGTATATATATATGTGTATGTATATGTGTATATATATATGTGTATGTATATGTGTATATATATATGTGTATGTATATGTGTATATATATATGTGTATGTATATGTGTATATATATATGTGTATGTATATGTGTATATATATATGTGTATGTATATGTGTATATATATATGTGTATGTATATGTGTATATATATATGTGTATGTATATGTGTATATATATATGTGTATGTATATATATATATATATATACATTATATATATATATATATTACTATAGTACAGTAAAGTTCATTACAGTATAGTGTAAAATAGTATAGTCTACTTTTTATTTCAATTAAATATAAATTGGATAAGAATTATTACATTATATATGTATAGTTTAATACAGTATAGTATAGTATATAGTATAGTATAGTATAATGTGTATTAAATAAACATTTGGATTTCAATTTTTTTCACAATGCAAACAGGATAAAATTATCAATACAATTAGAATTATACAGTGTGTGTGTGTATATATATATATATATATATATATATAGTATATTTAGTGTATATATAGTATAGTATATTATAGTATAGTATAGCATTATCTAATTAATTGATTTAAATTTTTGTCACAATGCAAAAATAATAGGATTAATATAAATGGCATTAGTAGTATTAGTAGTATTTATTTTATTTAATATTTATTTAATTTTGATTTAATTTCCTTTTTTGTTTTATTTCAACCCTTTTATGTAAGGCTTGTGCAATAATAAATAATCATAAATTAATTTGAGATGATTACCAGTGTTGTCTCTGTTTCCTGATGATCTCAGTCTTGGCATTCCACCCTGAAACAGCCCACCTAGTCCACCTGCAGCTCCGCCCCCAAACCCTCCACCTCCACCTCCTCCACCTCCACCTCCACCTCCACCTCCTCCACCTCCACCTCCAATTTTACCTCCTCCAGGTAGAGGTGGTGGGCCGCTAGGAGAGCTGTGCTGGGGTGAGCGTGATGAGTTCGGGACAGGTGGGGGTCCGGCCCTCCCAGGAGAGGGTCGTCCAGCGGTTGGGAGCGGGGGTCTGCTTCCTACTGGGCTGTTGGGTGCTGGGAATCTCCCTGTTGTAGAAGGCATCGGTGGTCTTACTGCTTTAATACACCATAAATAAAAAAAGAACATGAAGAAAAGTTTCGAGTATGTAGCACATTTCAGTTTTTGTCACAATTCAAACAACATAAGGATTAAATTAGGATTAGGAATATTATTATAGAAGTATAG